GAGAAAATTCGAAGAAAATGAAGACTTTTGGCGTTCAAAAGCGTATTTACAAAGTCAGACGTTCCTTCAAATAACGAAGCTATAGACGCATTTATGCGAAAAATCTTCAAATTTTCAGTACATGTTCTTTAGCCCAGAACCTGCAGAATTTTTCCCCGATTTTAAACCGGCAAAAACTGGAAAACACTGAATACTTTTGGCTGTCAGATGCAACTTAAAAAAATCCTCAAATTCCTCCAGATACGGAAATGGCAGACGCTTTATGCGGCAAATCTTGGTATTTGAAACTCCAAACGTTCTTTAGTACAGAACCTGCAGAATTTTTCTTCCATTTTAAATCGGCAGAAAATGGAAGATTTAGAAATCTTTCTTAGCTCAAACGATTGTTCTTTAATTGATTCTTCTAAGAAAATGAACGAGAAGCACCAGCTTAAAGTTTTAAAGCTCTTTCAAAAAAAATGATGATTTCGTAACGCGTTTATCGCATTTTTCCCCCGGTTAATTGCATGTAGAGGAACACCCTCGATCTGGATGTAAGGGCCGAATTCCTTCGATCGAAACAGGTACCCATCAGAAGATCGTTCAGAGTGACAAGCATCTATGATAATTTATCAGTGTTCCCATACGCAAGACGGCGTCGACTCAAAAGTGAATCCCAACCACGATTCGAATGGAAAGAGATTTAAAAGTCGGCATGGTATCCTTGAAAGCAACTTTTAAGGGTGACTTTACATTCCTCGCTGTGGGACCATTGAGAAACGGCCCGAATGTACCGTTTTAAACACTTGTTAGTTCGAAGAAGCCGGGGGATTTGGGAGTGACCACATTCTTCTATTGGTACTTTTATAAAGTTGCTCAAACTGATTCAATTATCTGCGGCAAACGAAAACGTTTAGCGTGTTTTCAACAGAAAAATTTTCCTCAAACAATTCGGTTTTTCCGAAATCAGCCTGAATTTACATTAAAAACATTTTATGGAACTTGACAATAGTCCAGGTAGTAGTTGTATTAATCTCGGTTCCCACAGTCGGAAATCCCATAAAGGTTTGCCTGCATTTATCACCACCTTATATTAACACCATTTTCCACGAATATACAAACATGTTTTTTACAAGGGCGCCTCATCATGAGGGTTGTTTTGTCCCGGTTTGTATACATAAATATTAAAAAATGAGACCGATGTTTCTCGTAAAAACGCCATTTAGTCAGCTCTCACGGTTCATTCCAACAGGAAACTCTTTCACTTGCATTTAAAACACTATTCGGTTCGTTTACATTGTCTTAGAATGAATAACGGAAGAATTATTTTTTGGACTTTTAGGTCGAAGGTTAATAAAGGCCAGAGTTGTATACATTTTTTCTGAATGTCTTTGCTTTAGCGTTACTTTAGCACATATGTTTCTTCCTTTAAACGAATCTAAAAATCCTTAAGATTTGGGAGCTACGAAAGGTTTGATTCAAGATCTGTTCTAAAGCGGTTCACTCTTTAGCTCATACCGGGCTCAGTTTGGTATCGATTTTGAAACTGCAAAAAGGAAGGCAAGAACTGTTTCACTTTCCAAAATCTTGTTGAAGATTTCTTTTGCATTATGAGACAAAGTTGCAAAGTTAGTGCCGCAAATTAATGCAAAAAACCTACGCTATATACGCACTCAGTATAACGACGTTACGAAAGCAAATTTATACAGGAAATTGAAGAATATGAAATGACCAAAGTTATTAAGTCTTCGCTAAGTCGAGAAAAAATCAAAGAAGACAAGAAAACTTTCATCTCATCGCTCGAATGCACTTTGAAATTTTCAAAAATTCCCTTAGTCAAGCAGCGTCAAACATGCTTAGTTTTGCTTCAATTTTCAATCGGCAAAGAACAAACAAAAAGCGCAGGAATTTGGGCTTCTTTTGGAAACGGCAAACAGCTGGAAGTTCAAGCAAATAACTAAGCAATAGAAGGATTTATCAAAGAAACCTTGAAGTTTGAATCGCTAAAATCAATTTTTCTCGGTTTGGGCAAAAAAAAATAAAAAACGTAGAAAACTTGACTTTTAAACGCCTTGAGCAAAATAAACGAACAGTCAAAATCATGTTGCAAATATAAATAAATCCCTGTTCATTTCAAGAGGAAAGAGCGATGATGGCAATTGATTAAAAACCCCCCAATAGTAATTCCACAATTCCTCATCCGGCTTGAACTGCATGCTGTCAGCCAAAATTGGACTGATAAGATGTTTAAATTTCTTATAACTAAACCGAACTTGAAACGATATTCCGCAAAGGAAAAGATAAAGTTCCAAAATATGCTGGTTCTGCATTCGCAAAAGGTCCTTGACCATCTGACCAGAGAGAATGTCGATGATGTCTTTTTTGTTTTTTGCGTGTTTGGGGGGGACCGGGAACGGCGACTTCAAAGCGAACGTGGGGAACAACGTCTAGACAAAGAACTGGGTTAATATCTCGTCGGTAATTGTGGGCTGTTTCCATTCATAAATGATATTTGGGTGGCGAGTTTTCACTAGTTTTATCCCGAAATTCGCACACCTTGAAACATTCCCATGCACCCTCGGAATTTGCATTCAGTCTCTGGCACAACAATGGCTTAGGGTGGCGCAATATCCGATCCGAAATTAGCCAATCGGCGACAATAAACGGTGAGAAAAAAATCAGTTGCCACCTTTCCGATCCAAGATACCCGCTTTCGCCTTGCCAGCCTACATGGAAACCCAAAATCATCCCTTAACCGTTTTCGGGGAGGTTGGGAAAAAAGGTCCCTTAAAACCGGAACAACAACACGATAATCATAGGCGAAAGAAATAGATCCGGGCTGAAGGATTCACATACTTCCCGGGTTTTTTTTCACTCGGCATTGTTCAGGGCACTTTCGTATGCCTATTCGGGTGGTGAAATCGTTGAAAAGGGCAAAATTGAATGTGAAAAAAGACGTTAGGAACTAACCAAACCCGTTACCAGTTGCAACGCTGTTCTCGAAAATTCTTGTTGCTTACAACGTGAGAAACTTTCTAGCTCATCTAATGAGCAGCGACCACAGTCAGTAATAACTGTTTTTGCCCAGTTCGAATTCACTTCCTTCCGTCTTTAAGGGTGCAATTATTGATTTGTCCGTAGGGTGGCTTCTCGAAGAGTCGTTGCTTTCGCACAAAAAGCCAAAGAAAGGTGGCCACGTTCGTTTCTTTGCCCGCCAAGATGGGCACGATTGGACGCAACACCAGATGGTATTTTAACGTCTGAATTTTTGGTCTAGTTGATAAGCCAACCAACCCTTAAGGCTTCAAACGAACCGAAATTTGACTAATTTTGTATTTGTGTAAAACATCATTTTTACGTCGGTTTTGTCCAGTTTCACTGTTTGTTGGCCCGCCCTGTGCACTGCGCGATGGCGAAATGGGAAATATTTAATTGAAAACACAATGATAGAATTGAGTTTTCACAGAAAAAAATTACCAGTTTCAAGTAATGGTTGTCCTCTTTTGGTGTCTTGGTCTTAGATTCAAAAAATTTTTAAAAATTGACGGTTTTGTCAACTAAAATTCAACAGTTCGTTGATAGAACGCGAAAAAACACCATCTAGTATCGTATGATGAATAAAGGCGAAAGTACTTGACAATGGATAAAATGATTGAAACTTAATTTTGCCCTTTTTAATAACGTAATAAATCAAATAAAGCCATTCAAAATGTACAATTCATACGGGTTGAATTGAGTGAAAGCTTTTAAGAATCCGCCCTCGTAAATCGGGAAAGTGCAACAAGGCCAGAGATTTCCGATATGTTGATCTCACTCTTGATCACGGCGAGAGTGTCTAAGAAGTTCATCGTTGCACTACGGGGTGCATTCAATTTGCATCAATTATCTGCTTAGAGATTTCACAAGATAAATTTATTTATTTCTGTTTTCTTAAAGAATTCTGGAAATTATTAGCATGACATATCTGGAATGGATATAGAAAAATGGTATTTTGAAGATTGCAATGCTTAAATGGCAGGCCTTTCGTTTACGCTAATTGTGCCAACATTTGGACTTAAAATTGTTCCCAAAGAGCACATTGAAAAACCTCAATGTTAGCCATACATTTTGCCAGTTAACCATCTGTTCAGCGAATATACAGCGACTTCCGTTGAAAATTTGAGTAAAAAAGTACCGTTTTACTTTCATGTGGAAATATTAAAAATTTGCACTGACAAAGAGAATTGAATTGATGGAAAAATTTTAGCGGCTGTTGCCAATAATAATTAAAAGTGTGTTTTTTTTCTGGGCCAGACACAATAGAATGCTAATTTTAAAACAGCCAATTCAGTCGAAACTGTGAATGTTTTCCCGAAAATCCGTATAGGTAATTAGGAGTTTCAACCAAGTCATCGTTTATCAAGTGAAATGGAAAAAACTGTTCACCACTACTGATAAATTACAGACGGTTATTATATGGATAGCGAAATAGTTGTCAATGCTTTTTTTCCATACTAAAAATATTGTGTTGCTGCCTCGTATCTCGTTCGCGGTTATCAATGAATGGATAAATTCGGAACTGTTTACTTATATTGTTGATAACGACATCAATTCTTAGTAAAACATTTTGGTTGGCCTTTTGAGGTTAACTCGAAGAATGTATGAATGAATGGTACGTACGTACATTCGATTCGTGTTTGTTGCAAAGATCTTCCTCGTTTCGAATTGTGCCCATCCGCCCCACGCGACCGGATACCCCCTTTATCTACGCCGATTATGTCATATCAACTTTGTAATAACTCCCCAAACGCATTATTTGTATCCGCAATTAAGGAACAAACACAATCCCTTAAAATCGCCCAAGATCTTCAAAAAAGGAAACATGGTGGTTGAACTGTCTTCAAAACAATGCCACCACTTGCATGGTGACCTGATACGGTTTAATGCAGGAAATGGACAACTCGTGCCGACAAATGATGCTCAAGATAATTTACTTTTGAGGAAGCAACGATCAAAGGAAAACGAAAGTAACAAAGACTTACCGCCACAACATCGTATGTTACACTATAGTCTGTATACGCACAAAGAAGATCAATTGGTAGAAAGTTCGTACTCCTCAACTTTGAGGCAATTAGGAGGCAGGTGGCACCCAACAGTTGCAGGTGTTGCCTCTTTATTCTGCAGACGCACAGAAATCTGTCCATATAGTTCACAGCTAAGGGCAGGACTTGTTCTTCACAACTTTGCTCTTCGCAGACCTGCAACAGAAAACATCTCTTCAAAACTGTTTCAAAAGGAAAAATTTAGCACTTTTTGCCCTAATTTTTTGCTTTATTTTCAATCTGAATGTTTTGATAAGAAATGAAATAAAAAACAGGTTTTCAATTCATTCGGAGGCTCAAACCAACGAGCTAAATGCGATTGAAAGATTTGAGAATTTGTTTAGGTTGGGAGAAAAAGTAAATCATTTCGAAAAAGGAGTGAGGAATTCAAGTTTTGACCTGTTAAGAGCGGTTGTATTCTTTAAACCCGATATAAGCGTTATTCTTGGCTCAAACACTCTGTATATACAATATAACGAGCTTGTGAGATCGTAAAATATGTATTGATGATTTTGGTTTTGCGGTGTTTTGCACAGGGTGGAGTTTAGCATTTAATTACTCCGTAACTTGCAAAAGTGAGGAGGTCAATTTTGGATGCTTTTCAATAGATCGAAGTCCCATTTTTAATAGTGGAATAAATTCCGATTTTCGGTCCCCGGCAGGCAATTTTAGATTATTTTTCATAATCGTGTGGTATTTGCACGACGGACAAAGTATCTTGTTGTTTGAGCACGGTCAGTTTCATAAGTGACAAAACCTGCGATTTTCAGTCATCATCAGGGTATTTGCAACATTTTTTCGTCGCCAGTGAATTTTTTGTTTATACAGACCTAAGTTTATCATGCGTTTTCTCAGAAACCATATAAAGTTGCAGATTGACTTTTAAGTGGCTTTTGTAGGGCCAGATGCGTCCCATAAGTGGAAAAGGTTTCGATTTTGAGTCATCGTCAGGCAACTTTTTTAAAGGAGCTTAGGAATAGACGCTCTATGCCCTCTTCAGTGGAAATAACGGAAAAGAGTAGCATACTTTGACAGTTTTTATGCTTAACCGATAATAAAGATTCAGCTAAAAAAAACACTTTAGAAGCATCAACATCTGAAGAAGTTGAATTGGAACAAACCCTTGAAGAAAGTTGCAAATTAATAAGGCGAATCAAACAGACAAAACATCTGAAATTCAAAGACTTGAAGAAAAAAGGTCGTTAAACAGACTAGCTGGGAAAGTATTATCGAAGCAGTCCTGGTAGACCGTGTGGTAAATGTTCGATTAAGACCCTCGTAAACGCAATAAAATCATATGGCCGGAAGCGGCCCCGCAGACGTTGTTGACTTTTACACTGTGGAATTTCTATTTCATATTTGTTCAAAAAATTCCCCGAGACGTTACTTTGAGAGAACATGAACCGAAAGATGAATGGATGGCCACACGTAGAGGACATTTTGTTGGCTAATGCCTGCCTGTCTGAAGGTCTAGGTGGGCTACTGAAAGTCGCTCTCGAGTTCAAGGCAAGAAGAAGTAAAAGTAAAAGAAGAAGATTGTCACCGAAAGAAACACGCTCTCAAGTCTGATGATTAATCAGCTCGGTCTGGATCGATTAAGGCCATAATGGTTCGATTAGTAAAGGCACACAGGGCCAAACCTGGCAAAGGAAAATTTCCAAGGAACCATAAAATACGTTTGTGCAATTGTCATGGCTGGGCAAGGCTAACCTGTTGCCCGTTGCAGAAAATGCGATGAAAAAGTTGAACATCGGCTGGGAACAATGAACTTTTGAATCAGTTGCCATTTTGAGTGCCGGCACATTTTCTCGTTAAAAGGCTTTGCGTATTTATAGTTCCCACGTTCGATAATTGTCCAAGGGAAATTTTCAAGAAGAATCAACAGCCACCACATGGAAAAGCTTGTTTACCACCCCAGAAGCCGCAAATAAGTGGGCACTTGAACGGATCCATCATTGCAAATCGGTGAAACAGAGGACGTTTATAAATAATGTTTATGTTTGGATCCAAAGTGGAACCTGAACAATGCGGCGTCACGATCCTTTTAAACTTTAAATCCCCGAAAAATCAAGCAATTGAACTAGAAACGACGCGACGCCTCGTCATCACATTTGTCTATTTTTATCCAGAATATGGACTTCTATAATTAGTACTATTGATACCATGCGGCGTGGCATCAGAGTGAATATCAATTCGGAATTGGAAAGAATGTTGATTAATTAAGCTATTCGGTATGCGCGTTTGTTTCCCAGACCGGGTTTTACAATTTTTGAGGCATTTGGGCCCGTAACTGGCTGCTTAAGAAAGGATTCCCATTCATTTAGTCAGTTTCAAGCTATTTGGCGATGACCTATTCCAAAGAGTTTTATGGATATTCCTTGAAACTGGAGTTTTTTGGTCGAAGAAGTTTTTCAAGAAACATTGCGCAAATACACACGTATAACCGGTGAATTAGCGCTTGTAGGCCTGCTAGTTCTGATAAAATAACATTACTGGGAACCGCGGCCTACTATACTGGTAACCGCGGGATAATCCGGAAACTTTCAACAGCGCCATTCGGAACGCGAAGCGAATCTGATATTCAACCCTCTCCAAAACGGCGTTCAAGAGAAGAACAAAAGAGTGAGGCTTATTTTTTGAAACTGGTGAAGTTTTGAGGCCTAAAAACCCACCAGTTTCAATTCCTGAACAAAATGGGTACCCGAAAATAACACATACAAATAGTACACTCGCCAAGAAATCAAGTCAATGATTTTAATATTTTCCATAATTTCACTAATTGTAATCATTTGACGCAAACCATCCGTTAACCCTTCTTCTTTTCCAACATCAAATTTGCTCAACATCTCCCTCAGTGCACAAGTAACAGAAAAAGAACGACAATGATTGCGTCACTGCCAAACAGCTTGGAACAGACTAAACCTACACGCAAAAGAAGCGGCTGAGATTATGCAAAAACATTGACTCTTTTCCATTCATTCACTCGCGCTCACCAAACTCGTGTGTATGATTTTATGAAGGCAATCAAGTTCACCCGTCTGGTATGGTCGTCGTTCTTGCTCGCTCTCACTGGCTAATCAATTCGAAAAAACCCAGCAAAACGTGAGAATTTTTTTTGAAACAATTCGATAGCTGAATTAATCGGCTCTTGCCAGGCAGCAGGTTTCTCAGTTAATTGTGTCGCTCATTTTTCAATACCCGCAGCGAATCTAGGAAATTAATGCAGGTTTTTTAAAGGGCTTTCTTATCATTGAATGATCTTGTTTTTCGTTTTGTTTTTAAGGAAAAACGCAGCGATTCCCACCAAACCTAGTGAACATTCAAGAACTAACGAATTCGTTATTAATAATTCATCAAACCGAGATTGGAACAATTATGGAAACTCCCAAAGTGAATTCAACACTTTCGTATGAATAAATAGTGTGTTTTGTTATCGCTGCAAGCGGAAGTAATCGAGGAAACCTTTAAAATAGTGCAGGAATTGATTCGAACGAAGTCACACATATTAAAAGTGAATAGAGAAAAACTGGCGCAGTCCAGAAGAAAGTGAAAAAATGCAATTTCTAAGAGCACAGTAAAAATTATCCAGAAAAACCATACAAAATTGTTGTTAATCACTAAGTGGGAAACTGCAACACAACTAAAACTATCCTTAGAATTTGAGTTAGGCCTGCAAGAGCAACTTGAAAAATAGCAAGGTCATCCAAAAAATTCTCAAAAATTGTCTAATTTTGACTGAAATTCTAAACTCGATAGTAATACAGGGTGATTCAAAATTGGCGTAATTCCTTTTAAGGGGTGGTAATAGGGGTTCATTCGGAAGGTACGAGACAAATATTGAAATTTTCTTCCGATAATTTCTAGAAGACATTAACAGTTGAAAATCGAATTTCAACTTTGTTATTAAGCATTATTTTGAAAGTGTTTCATGTTCAATTGGATGCATATTGGAATACTTACGCATTCAAAAAAAAATTACGATCTTTGCTTGAAATGACGAAAATTTTTGATATTCAACAAGTTCTCTTCTACAATTTTTTGATGAAAAGTCAAAGCGGCAATGATTTTTTTAGTCATTAACAGATAGTTACAGGTGGATAGCCCTTGTCAATAATAACAATAATTTGTCAAACTGTGACTTACTTTGAATTTCCTTTCACGAATTTGCGGATATGCGATAAGCTCAGGGGAAATGCTACAGTAATATAACAGAAGCTGAAAGAACTCACGCCAACAAAGGGCGAGGAGAGTGGTTCCAGGAAGATAGTGGACGACAATTGATGTTCGGGTTCCAGACACAGAGGAACAAGTATTGGACATAACCGAATCAGGGCCTTCCAGGGGCACTCAGAGCACAATAACTGACACTTTCTCAAGCACCAAATAAATACCGAGGAACGGGTACATTCCTACCACGTACTTATGTAAGATTAAACCAATGGATTACTGAACACCGGTATAAATTGAGCAGGAGTTGATTAACCGAATACGAGAAGCTGCTCGGGAAGAGTGCATAATAAGGTGATTACACAGGCACTTGTTTGGAGTTACAGACTAAAATGTATGTTTTTGTAATTTGTAAACAAATGAATAATTCGAGGTTATTACACCCCAACTTCACATGTTTCTGAGAAAATAAATGTCAAACTTGTCGTCGGCATAGATGATAACAGCAAAATTAGATCGCAAATTTAAAAAATCTTTATAACTAGCCTGATGATGAGTCGAATTCGAAACTTTTGCAACTTTTAAAACAGACAAGTCCAACAAACTGCCCTACAAAATATGTACATACAAAAGCGACTATCTCACTTTGTTAATTCCTGGAGAAATAAATGCCAAAACAACCTGGTAACTCAAATGTAACTGTGAAAATTTGGTGAAAACTGCCTGATGATGACGTAAAAATACTGACTGATGACTTTGTTCGCTAATAAGAGACTTTGACTTATAAAGGACATCCAAAATTAACATTCTAACTTCCCCAGATATGGATGAAATAATCCGACGAAAATCGCCATAAAAAAGCAGACGCAATTTTGAAAAATTCTAGAAAATTGGCTGAGAATGGTCCAAAAAAGTGCACTTATTAAATAGGTCTTGCTTTATTAAATGCATATCAAAACGACCCTCACAAATGGCCAGTTTCTGAATAAATAAATGCCAAACTCCGGCCTTTAAAAACAACATTCAAAACGAAACGCAATTTTCAAGACTTGTCAAAAATTACGTGGGAATGACTGAGAATCGAAACTTTTTCCATTTATAAATGAGACTTTGCCCTATAAAATGCATATCAAAAGACATTTCTTACTTCTCGAATTGGAGAGAAAATAAATGCCAAACTCGGGCCTGCCAAAAACCCCGGTAAATCAAAGGCAATTTTGAAAAATTGTCAAAAATGGCCCGCTGATGACGATGAAAATTGACACTTTTTCACTTATAAAATAGACTTTGCCCTAAACAGGCCTCCAAAATTGACTTACGCACTTCGCAAAGTATAGAGCAAATACATGATAAACTCCTACCTGCAGAAACCACCACTAAAATCAGATTTTTTATATTTTTTAAGGCAATTTTGAAGAATTTTAAAATTGAAACATCGGAATTTTTTAGTTCTTTTTTGAAAACGACCATCAAAAAGCATTCTAAATTATATTAAAAAAATTATCTATTGAATTTAAAACAAATTAATTGCATTGACCTAAAATGATACAGGGTGTCCGAAAATTCTATTTTTTGTCGTGGAAATTCTAAATGCACAATAACGCAATGAAGTAAGTGCGTCGGCTTATTGAAACCCCTTGTCGAAAAGTGCAAGTTTTTCCCAATAGAAATCGCGAGTTCAACTACCGATGGTGACGCTGCGAAACGTCAAATTTCTCGTTGTCGAGTGACAGTTGGGACTTGTCAGACATCTATAACATTTATAACACACTTTTCAATGTGTTTCTATTTCCATCAAATCTTGCAAAAGTAGATTAAAACGAAACAAAACAAATCACAAATACCAATGTGACACCAATGTCATAACAACAAGTGTAAAATTACTAGTTAACGTGTCGTTATAATTTTAGCCACCAAGAGGCGTTTGGACTTTTTAACTAGTAAAATCCTGGTTAAAGAATATAAGATTCTTGGGTGTTGACCAAAAAGTAAGTACCCAAAAGGCAAATTGTGGATTTGCTTCAACTTCAACAGCTACAGAGGAAGTCCCGAACTTAGCTAAGAGGCAATATATTTCAAATGATCATATCTAAATGAACGGCAATTAGTACTAAAGACTGTTTGCTGAATTAAATGTCCAATCGACGTTTAATTGCAAATCCTTTTCTACGCAATTAGGCCAAGATCGTCCCGATCACTAACAATGAATTAGTTTCCTATTAGGGCTCAATGCGACGTCACTAGGGCTAATAAACCAAGATCAGTGAATTTTCAAATTTTGAAACCAATCCATGAGTCCGTTTCGAGCACCCCTGGTAATGCCGTCTGACAATCATATGATTTTTGTTTTGAAGGGTGGTTGCCAAGCCGAACAGCGCTTGGTTGACTTGCCAAAGTAAACAATTGGAGAGAAATGAATGATGTCACATGGACAAGTCGATGGAATATGGACGGGAAAATGTGTGGCCATCAAGTTGCAACAAAATGGCATCCTGCATGTAGCAAGAGCTCTATTTCCGGTAAGTTTAGCGCGTTGAGTGACAGTCCAGGCCGGTAAGAAAAAGTGAGTCGCTCATATGTCGGAACAGACACAACAACACACTTATATAAATACGAACGTGTGGGAACTAAAAATAGCGTAGTACTTTAATGAGAAAATCTGCGGGCACTCAAAATGGCAACCTTCTAAAGTTCATTGTTCCCCGGCTTCGGCGTTTTCGTCACTTTTGCAACAGGTTAGCCGTGCCACGAGGTGACATTTAAAATGATTTATTTAGCCCAACATCGTCGCGTTCCGGCCCAATATTCTGGTGTCGGTTTTTTCGAAAAAGCAAACGGTCTCTTCTGTCACTGTCAGCAACAACCTGTGGAATGTCATCAGGAGACTTACCTCCAACATCCATGTCGTGACGACCTTCCGCATGAACGGCTGGATGTCATCTTGAACTTGGCCGAAATAATCACAATTTGGAACATACGAAACTTCGCTTTCCAGCAAATTTCTTATCACCCGGTCGTCGCTGAAAATCGCCCTATCCTTGGCAGCCCTTGTGCATTTGTTTGACGATATGGCGCACGTTTGATTCATAATGTTAACACTGAGCTGCTTGCACCACACGTAAACACAAACTGAGCGATTTTTAAAAGGCACCGCCGGTTTTATACGATCGGTCTCTTGCCCGCGCATGGGCACTAACGTTTGCCCTTTGTAGCCACCTGGTTTAAGGGGCAGGTTTAAATTGTCCCAATTTGTTCATTGCGCCCCATTTTTGCCCAGAATTTCACCATAAGTTCTCATTTTTTCTGTGTGTTCTTTCACATTCTATCAATCAAACTTTTGCCAATATTTACACATTGTTCCGCATAATTCAGTCTGAATACAAGGTGCAAGCGCAAAGTAGTGGGGCAAAGAGGACTGAATTTTGTTATGTAGGACTCGGCACAACAATCGCATTGAGAGTCTAATATACGGGGTGATTCAAAATTGGCGTCATTCCTCTGGAGGTGTTGTCTGGCGCTGTTATAGGAGTACAGAAAAACTAGTTAAATAAATTAATTGTTATTAAAAACTGAGAAATTTGCAAAAAACTGAATCAGAAATACGGCAGCAATGTTTTTCAAGGTAATCTGCCTAATTAACATTGCGCAAATACCTGTTGCTCCGTAATTATTTAAAACTCCGGTAACCATGGAATTATACAGACTGACAATAAGATAGACAAGGATAAACGGTAAATTCAACAAGATTTGTTGACGAAATGTCAACCTGTTCTCATAACCTCTCTAAATTGGAGTTTATAAATAAACCATAGAACACCAAACATTTGAATGGTTAACTCTAAACAAGCTAGTGCCTCTGTAATCTCCTTATCTATTCTTATCAAGCAGCTTCTCGTATTCAGTTAATTAACTCGTGGTCCGTTTGTATCTCCTTGTGCTGTGTGTATCGTACAAACGTGGTAGGAAAGTAGCCCTTCCTCGGTATTTATTTGGTGCTTGGGAAAGTGTCAGTTATTGAGCTCTGAGTACCCCTGGAATGCCCTGATTCGGTTATGTCCAATACTTGTTCCTCTGTGCCTGGAACCCGAACGTCTATCGTCCATCTTCCTGGAATCACTCTGCTCGCCCTTTGTTGGCGTGAGTTCTTTCAGCTTCTGCTATGTTACTGTAGCATTTCCCCGGAACTAATCGCATATCCGCAAATTCGTGAAAGGAAATTCAAAGTGAGTCACAGTTTGACAAATTATTGGTATGATTGGCAAGGGCTATCCACCTGTAACTATCTGTTAAAGGCAAAAAACATCATTGCCGCTGTTCCTTTTCATCAAAAAATTGTAGAAGAGAACTTTTTTGATATCAAAAATTTTCGTAATTTGAAGCAAAGATCGTAATTTTTCTTTTTGAATGCTTAAGTA